TTTTCCAAAGGAAAATATTTTTCTTAAAGTGGAGGAAAATGTTGTTTTCTAGTGTTTGGTTCATAGAATTCATTTTCCATTGGAAAATGAATTCTTTTCAAATTTGAGGAAAACAAAATCCTTGGTTGGACCAAGGATTTTGTTTTCCATGAAATATGGGAAGAAAAAGTGATATGAATTGCCTATTTTACTCTTGTTTTCTTTTTTAATTATATATTACTCTTATTAATTTGTAGGGGCATATAGGTCTTTATACTCGTTATTCCTTATAATTCCAAATCTAACCCAACAATGGAATTAGTATTCCAAGCAATTCTTTTTCCACTAACCAAACAATGAAATTCATCTTCCTAGTAATTATTTTTCAATGGAATTTCAATTCCACTTCCCTTAAAATATTTTCCGTGAACCAAATGAGTCCTTAGTTTTTTCCAATTTTGAAAATACGATTAGAAAACTTATAAATTAATTTGGTTCTTAAGAGTTTTTCTCTTTGTTATTTGTTGACATCTATCATTCCTCTTGTCCTATAAGTTGCAACCATTTGTAGACTTTAATTTTTTATTTTTATTTTTACAAGTTCATGATGATGCCAATACATAGTACAAATTGAGAGTTGTTAGTTATATATAAAAACATATATATTTGGAGTTGTTTGGATGTCTCATTTGCTATTCGAATCTAAAGATAGGTTTTGCTCCTTTTTTTTCAATAATTTTTTTGTTTTAACTAATGAGCAATATATGGTCTAAAGTTACATCCTATTGACTATTATGACATTTTTAATAAAGTTTTAGAATTTTGTAGAACATTAATATTGGCTATCCCTACCATAAATGAAAAGAAGATGTCCTCCAATTAGTCACATGGGCTTAACTCAGTACAGTATTTAGGAAAAGAAGATGTTATGCAATTAAAAGAATTCATGTGATAATTAATATTTTGAAAAAAATATTTTTGATCCATAAGCATTATTGAGTAGTATGTAGTGATATTGTCCTCGTGGACTAAGCTCAATAGTTCAGCAGCAGTATTTGGGAGAAGCGACCAAGGTTCGAATTTTGGTGGCAGTAACATGGGAATTATGTCAAAAGTTAAGTTGGCATCTGTTGAATCATTGAGTAATTGTGATTTACATCATGCCAAATGTTCTGTCGGATCGAAGTGTGAATTCAACCTTTTGAAAGAAGAAGTACGTAGTGATATACCTAAGCCATTTTTTTTTAGAAAAAAAAAAAAAAAAACACGATCAATATATTTTTATTCTTCTTTGAAATGCTAAACGTGTGTTGAAGCTTTCAATGTTAGTGTTGATATTGTAATTTTTTTTAAAAATTATTATAGCCGGCCAACATTAATTATTAAATTGTCTTAATTACTTGCCGGTAATTATGCTTCTGAAGCTTCAATAATTAAAAAAAAAATTGAAGTTTTTTTTTTTAATTTTATTTTACAAGTTAGCCATATTGAAGCATAATCTAATCTAATATATATATATATATATATATATATATATATATATATATATATATATATATATATATAAAATAAGCCATCATGTCCATATTTTTAGTGCTAACCATTTTGTACTTTGTGTTTTTAAAGTTGTACTATATAATTTTTTTAGACAAAAATATCCTTACCGTTATAACTTCCGTTATCTTTCAATTACTTTTACCATGCACTTGCATCCAACATATATCTTTTTATATTCTTTAATGATAATAACATTTGTAGACATTAATAAATAAGTTTTATTTCATTTTGATTTTACTTACTAAAAATTTATTAGTTATTCTTCAAAATATAAATATTGGGCATATATTTTTGCGCATACATTAAAAATGTGAATAATGTATTCCATTTGGTTGATGATGATATCAATGCAAATTACAAATTTGATGTTGTTAGTAATATATAATAAAATAAAGGGAAAATGACACATTTTCCCCCTAAGTTATATATTTATAGCACTTTTTTCCCCTCAATTATTTATGTAAGCACATTAGTCCCCTCAATTATTTTAAAAGTGATGGTTTTTCCCCCTAATATATTAAATTGACATTTCTACTCTTCAAGTAAACATTTTATTTATTTTACTTCTCCAACAAATTATTGCGTATATGTAGCGATTACCACAGTTTGATTCGAACTGAACCAGACACTATAACAATCGAATTAAAAGTTTTTGGTTATGATTCAGATCTAGAACCCAATATTTGGATTTTAATTTATTAAATTTAAGAAAAAAAAAAAAATTGGATCATGAACCGTGAACCGGCGGTTCCGGATCCGGTTCGCGATTTTGAACCGTCTTTATTTTAAAATTTTATTTTTTATTTTAAAATAATCTAAATTCAACAATAAATGTATTTTATTTTTTCAGTTCGAAACATGAACAGGCCATTCCGGTTCGCGATTTTAATAAACTCTAAATATCACGTTTTGATTATAAATTGTAATTGGAATATTTTGATTTGGTTGCTATAGTATCTGTTTGGTTTGAACCAAATTATAGTAATAATTTGTTGGAGAAGAAAAATAAATGAAATATTTATTTTAAATATTTATTTTAAGGGTAAATATGTCCATTTAACATTTCAGGAGGAAAAAGAGCCACTTAAATAATTTAGAGGGAAAAAATGCTATAAGTATATAACTCAGTGGGAATAAATGTCATTTTCCCTAAAATAAATTTCGAATTGTCAATTTTAAAATACAAAATATTTTTCAAATTTCAAGAAGTAATTTGAAAAGAAAATATTTAAACATTGCTTCACCCGTGCAATTTGGTAGACTAATAATTATTTGACCATTTTTACCTATTTTGAAGACCAAAAATGTTATTAACCTTTAAAAATGTCTGACTTGTTAGAGTGATATATAGTTAAATAAGGGATGTTAAACTAGTTTAGATATAAAAATAAGTTGTAAGTTTAGATATACAAATATTCTTTAAAATAATTAAGATGATTTTTCATAAAATATAATAAATTGAAAATACAACACTAAATAGTTCATTGCATTATTAAAGTTGCCAACTTTATATATTAATTAATGTATAATATAGGAAATTAAAGGAATTATTTAGTTGTTAACTATTATGCAGTATGATGGCATCGTGGTTATCATTTTAAATAGTCGTTATATCGTAGATGTGCACCGCGGTAAAAAACGGCGCCGTTTCTTTAAGTAAAGAAACGGTCAGCTGTTACTGTTAATGGAGCATGTTTGGTGTATTAAACACCAACTGAAACTATATTGTATCTAAACTGACACTGCCTCACGTATTATTTTTATATTATCAAGTGAAACTGCAATTGAAATGAAATGAAACTGTAGTTGTGTTGAAATGAAACTCCATTTTATACGAAATGAAACTGAATAACAATTTCACATATTTGAGTGATATTACCCAACGAAACTGTAGTTATATCAAAATGATACTTTAGTTGTGTTGAAATGAAACTGCAGTATATATAAAATGAAATTGAATAACATTTCACATATTTGAGTGTATATTGTGCAATGAAGCTGTAGTTATATCAAAATGATCATGGAGTTGTGTTTTAATGAAACTATAGTGTATATAAAATAAAATTAAATAACATTTTCACATATTTGAGTGTATAAATATCGAATGAAACTGTAATTATATTGAAATGAAACTGTAGTTGTGTTGAACTGATACTGCCGTGTATACAAAATTAAACTGAATAACAGAGTTACATTTTTGCGGAACGGCGCGGAACGGTACGAAACAGGTACCATTTCTTTCATTATACAAAACGACGTCGTTTTGAAGCGCAATGCATAATCGATTATGCACCGCGGTGCATGATATAATTATAGGTTTGAATTTCAGTGGTGGGCTTAAATTCTTTGTGCTATATAACATAGAGTAAATACCCAAAATGGTCCCTCAACTATAGCTAAATTCACAAATTGGTCATCGACTTTCAATTTTAACCAATTAAGTCCTTAACTTTGCAATTTTAACACGATTTGGTCCTTCGAACACTTTTTCATTAACGCCCGCGCCCGCGCCGTCATCGACGATCTCCAGAAGAACCTGCAGCTCTCATCGGTGCACATGAAAGCCTCCAGGATGACGCTGCACCGGTTCGGAAACACGTTGTCTTCTTCACTCTGGTACGAACTCAACTACATTGAATCCAAAGGGAGGAAGAAGAAAGGCAACAGGATTTGGCAGATTGCTTTCGGCGGTGGATCCAAATGTAACAGTGCGGTCTGAAAATGCAACCGAAACCTTAAAAAATCGACGATGGACCATGAAATTACATATATATCTTCAAAAATCACAGTCAACAAACGGTCAAATAGACGGAAGACCAAATCGTGTTAAAATTACAAAGTTAAGGACTTAATTGGTTAAAATTGAAAGTCAAGGACCAATTTATGAATTTAGCTATAGTCGAGTAACCATTTTGGGTATTTACTCTATAACATATACTACCTAGTTATGAGGTTGATATGGAAGTGATTTGTAGGGTAGGGCAGGGTAAGAAGGCAACAAAATAAAGCATGGTGGGGAGGACAGAAGATAATAATGAAAGTTTGAAAAAAGATGATAGGAGAAATATAATATATATATAATGCATTCATGTCCTCAATCACTTTAATTTTAGATTATTAATTAATAAAATTACAATAAAAACATATATGGCAGCAAGCTAATTAATTAGCTCTTTCCAGATCAGATCAGACTGTTACTTACATATTGGATCTAGTTTTCAGTGTCCTAAACCCTAAACTTAAAACTACTACATATTCTTATATTACCAGCAAATTAAAGATTGGAATTGAGAGATAGATGGCTTGTGTTGCTTTAGCTTCTCTGATTAAAACCATTGAGATTGAGTTTCTTCGGAAAACAGCAAGGGTAAGCCTGTCTCTCCATGATCATGATCGAGCAGGAATCAACGCTTTCCTTGAAAACCTTTCTTATTTGCAAGCCCTTCTCCAGATGGAATCCAGTGGTGATGGTGATGCAGTACTCAAAGTCAGAGATTTAGAAGTGGAAATCAGAGAGTTTGCACTCAAAGCTGAAGACGACATTGAACTACACCTTAGCAACTTCATCCTTCATCAACACGGAGAAAAAGCTGCAGCTTCCCATCAACTCCTCCTCCATCAAACTTTGAAAGAAGCTGCAAAATATGCAACAGACCTGTTGTACTCATCAAAAATGTGTAGTGTTGCTTTAACTAGTCTCATCAAAAAAATTGAGCAATACTTCCCAAAGGTGTATGGTTTTGATGATAAAGCAGCAATAACAATGGCATATTTCTCACAGCAACTTTCTACCCTGCGAGGCTGCTTATTGAAGGAGAGGAATTCCAATAATTCTGGTGCTGCAATCAAAGAATTGGAAACCAGAATCACAAACTTCGCACTCAAAGCTGAAGATGACCTCCAAATACAATTAAAAGATTTCCTTCAAGCCAAACACACCGGACGTCTAAAAAAAGCTTCCCAGAAACTCCATCACACCTTGCAAGAAGCAGCAGAAAGCGTACAAGAGTTGTTGAACATAATCAAAAGTAGAAGCAGCAATGATGATGATGATGATGAGGCAAATCAAACTCAACCATCAAATACTTGGTTAAAACATGCTAGCTCTACGAATGTTGAATCTGATGGATCCACCTCGCACGGCTTTCTAAAGCCTGAGGGCAGAATGGTTGGTCGTCACCATGATTGTAGAGTGATAAAGGACCAACTCTTTTCTCAAAATTATGCCATACCAGGTATATTCTCAATTGTTGGAATGGTGGGTATTGGAAAGACGACTGTAGCAAGAAATGTGTATGAAGATCCATCAGTTGCATCCTATTTTGATGTAAGAGGTTGGGTTACTGTACCTCAACAGTACAATAAGAGCGGAATACTAAGCCAACTTCTTCACTCAATTACACCAGTAGAAGAGCCAAATGTAATTAAAAAGGGAAGCACTCCTCATGAAGTAGCAATGCAGGTACACAAATGCTTTGGTGGTAAGAAGTATCTAATTGTTTTGGACAACATTATGAGCAAGCAAACTTGGGAGCAAGCTTGGACTGACGTAAGAGATTGTGTTTTTAATGGATTAGTTGGAAGTTGCATATTACTAGTGACTAGACACTTAGACCTAAAAGTCCATACCCATAAGATGACTCTGCTAGATCCAAAAGAAAGCTGGGAGCTATTTTGTAATATCCTTTCTATTGATGAAGAGCACTTGGCCCCTAAATTTGAAAAAATTAGGAACCGTGTTGTGGAGAAATGTGATGGATTACCCCAGTTAATTGTTGAAGTTGCCAAGCGTTTATCTAAATGCAACAACATACAACAAGGGTGGGAAAAGATTGAAAAGGAATTAGAGTCATTGGGACTTCTAGATCGCAATGCACTCAGTGTTAGTTATAATATGTTGCCACATCATTTGAAAGTCTGCTTTCTATATTTTGGAGTCTTCCCAAAACGTAAAAAAATTCTGGTTAAAATGCTTATAAGGTTGTGGATTGCCGAGGGATTTGTGAAGCCATTATTGAAACATAAGGAGTTAGAAGATGAAGCTTATGGGTACTTACAAGAGCTTACTGACAGAAGTATTCTCTTAATTGAAGATCAAAGTTGTATCAGCGAAATAAAGACTTGTAGAATGCACAGTGCCTTACATAGCTTCTGCGTAGGAGAATCTCAAAAAGAAGGTATTTTATGTGCAGTAAATACTCAGCAACATTCAGGATTATCATTAAAAACATTTACAAATTCCTGTCGTTGGCTAAGTTCTTACTCACATAGTTTTGACTATTATGTGCTCTTTGGTACCAACATCCCTCGCTCCATTTTCTTCTTTCTTGAAAATCCTGAAATGTTTGTTCCTCCCAAGCTATTAAGAGTTTTAGCTTTTGATACTTGTATATCACTTCAAAGAGTGCCAGTGCAATTAGGAGGTTTAGCTTTTCTGAGATACCTATCCATAACACAATGGTTTGAGGATTTGGATGATGTCGTGTCAAATAATCCAAATTTAGAGACACTTGTTGTTTATGGTAATGGAGCACCAACAGTCCATTTGCCATCTAGTATTTGGAAGCCGCCAAACTTAAGGCATCTCGAACTTGGCAATTCATATATGGTAGATCCTCCAAGTGCAAATAAAAAGAAACTACAAACATTATCTTGGGTGGTGAGACCAATTCATTGCAAACAAAAGGTGTACAGCAAGTTCCCTAACATAAAAAAGCTGAAAATATTGCCCAAGGATGACATAGAGCCCCCTAGTCACATTGGAGGATGTTGCATTAATCCTATTATTTTGGATCATTTTGACTGCTTAGAAAGACTTGAGAAGCTTAGCGTTTCGGTTTCCATTGGCTGTAATGCAGCCCTTCCAGAACAGTGTATGTATCCTTCAAGACTGATGAAGTTGAAGTTGAGTGGGACTAATATTTCTGAGGGGGATTTAAATGTAATTGCCAAGTTACCCCAACTTATGGTTCTCAAGTTGGAAAATTCCTTCCATGGAGCTGTATGGAAAGTTGCTGAAAGAGGATTTTCTGAATTAAGATTCTTGCTCCTTGAAGCTAAAGAACTCAAGCAGTGGGTAGTTGGCCAGAAGCACTTTCAGAGGCTCAACCACTTAGTCTTAAGATCCTGCAATTGTTTGGAACAGATCCCAATGCATTTTGCAGAAATTTACTTCCTGGAGTCAATTGAGTTGGAGGGGTGTAACTCTTCCCTTATCGCTTCTGCCAAGCAGTTACAACAGAAACGAAGATCCAAGGATCGTATTGTTGAGGTTAGAAGCTAAAGCATGTTTTATTTTATTTCTTCTCTATTCAATGCTAACTTTCTTTAGTATTTCTTTTTTCTGATCTCATTTGTTTTTATGCATTATTTTTAACTTCACAGATCAAAATCCTTGGCCCCGAATATGATGACTCATAGAATACACATACAGAATTGTCTATGTAAGATGACTTGGCCAGCCAGCCTCATAGTAAATAATTGTTGGAAAACGGTACGTGTTAGGTTACATGTGTCTTGCTCTTATATTTTTATCTGCATGCCAAATACAGAACATGTAGTTGCATATACAAAAAATAAATTCATTGGTTAAGATTTAATGATTGTGAAGGAGAAGAAGATATATGTTGGTCATTAAAGATCTTCTACTTCATGAGTATATGTGAGTGGGGCAAGCTAGGAAGGTATTTCCATTTCATCTCATCTGGTGCCTATATGTGATGATCATACTAGCTACTTTAATTTACATCTCTGTTTCTTTTCTCTACCTCTTGCACTATAATTAATCCCGAGTACTAATGTGGTTTTGCAGAATTGAATAAAAAAAATTCAAACTGGGAAGCTATGCTGCTTGTAGTCAAGAATTGAAGATCTAGAGGTAAGAAAACTTGATTAGTTATTTCAACAGTTGTGCCTCTCACTAATTGATATTGATGATTTGTATTCTAAAAACTTGTTCATGAGATTGATTATATTTATATCCATTTTAAGCATTCTGTAAGACATTAAATAAAATATTTTACATTGATCCTGTCTGTAGTCAGTATTCTTGAAATTGCTTTCAGAACCTTAAAAATTTGTATTCTTCAAAAGGCAGATCGAGGTTGCAGAACGTGCGGAAGAAGCACACATTTCCCCAAAGAATGAAATTTTTTTTAACAGATCAGAAAGAATATTAGACTGATAGATGTTGCCTTTTGTTTTAACTTCACAACTATTGAACTACTAAGCTAATTATTATTTCTGTTAGGATAAATGAATGAAACATTGAATTTGCCAACAACTAAGAGTATGAAATAAAAAATGGATAAATGAATGTTTGATGGTTCGTTGGTGGCTATAGCAGCCAAGTTTATTCATCTGGTGCCTATATGAGATGATGATGTGAGTATATATATGACTTTACATCTGCCTTTCTTTTCTATTCTGCCAATAATTCTTTGTTTTGATATGGTTTTGCCCAAATTTTTTTCAACTGGTAGTGCTCAAGCTATTAGAGATGTTGAGATAAGAGGAATTGGTTGGTTACTTTGTTCTGCCCCTGGCTGATTGATATTGATTTACCAAGTGAGTATAATTAATTCTGAAAACTTCTTTTATTAGAGTTGATTGCAAATTACCTGTATTGCTTCAAACCAAAGATTGATAGTGATCTTGGTTTTAAAGAATGGATCTACACTTTGACATTACTACATTGTAATCTTTTGATTTGCAAGTTGTTTGAAGCTGATTATAAGATATTTTTAATTTTTTACAAGTATAATTACATTTTTCTTATACAATTATTAAATCCATATTCATTTTTATATTTATTTACAAGTTGATCATATTCTCAATCTCCAAAAGTCACCAAGTAGCATAATTTGGCAAATTTCTAGTAAACGACATAATTTATTCAACTAATTAAATGAGTCAAATTATATATACTTTTGGTGATAAAATTTCATTCCACATGTCAAATTCTAATCAGTTAATTTTATTTTGTTCAATTTAATCTTGAAATTTGATTATTTTAATCTTTATATTTAACAAATAAATATAAAATTAAAGTTTAAAAACATTACATAAATTTGTGCATGAATTTTTCACATGAACACAACAATCTACCCAACACCAAACTTTTTATAGGAGAAGTAGGAATTAATAGCAATGAATAATGACATTAACATCTGAAATAAATTCAAGTTTGTAACCCTCATAATTGACAACTTAATATGGAGTTTAACATACCTGTTACGACTGTTAATTCTTAAAAGACAAATTGGAATTAATTCGAAATTATTTCTTACGAATCAGAATTAACACTTCTAGAATGGTGCTCTGAGAAGTCACCCAAGAATTTGCATTTGAGATGTACACCCAAAAGGTGCTAACGGATGGATACATCCGAGAAGCAAAACTTTACTTCTCAGTGTACACAGGAGGTCGCAGAAGCACATGAGTCAAGTCTTTTCATACTAACTTTGGGATTTGATTTGCACCTCCTACCCGCAAGAGAGAACTTCTAAAATATACAATTCAAATTATTATGAAATAATCTCCCAAAACTCACGCCTCTTTGATTGCTAACAACTCCACTTTTATAATGCAAAATTTGAGGGGTTAACTAACCACTTGTTAAATGGTAGTGGTAAATTCGGATTCTATTGGTTTGAATATAATGCAGCCCTTCCAGGAGTGTGTATGTATCCTTCAAGATTGAAGAAGTTGAAGTTGAGTGGGATTAATATTTCTGAGGAGGATTTAAATGTAATTTCCATGTTACGCCTGCTTGAGGTGCTCAAGTTGGAAAATGCCTTTCATGGAACGGAATGGGTAGTTGATGGAGGATTTCCTAAACTAATATTCTTGCTCCTTGAAGCTAAAGATCTCAAGCAGTGGGTAGTTAGCTGGAATCAGTTTAGGGAGCTCAGACACTTAGTCTTAAGATCCTGTAATTGTTTGGAACAGATTGCAATTGGTTTTGCAGAAATTGACACCTTGAAGCTAATAAACTTGAGCATTGCGCAAGCTAATCGATGGTGATTTCCCATGTCTCGAGTTGTTAGTCTGATCTTGAGATGTTATTGTTTGGAAAACTTCCCTTCCCTTCCCTTCCCTTTGGTGTTTAACAGAAAATTTGAACCTGCTGCACTCAATTAATTAAGTTGGATTAGTGTGGCCCTTCCCTTAGCTTGTTGCTTTTCCTAAGCAGATTCAGTACTGGAAATTAAAGTTGAAATGGGAAACTGCAATTTTGAGGTTAGAAGCTACAGCTTATGATCCTAGCTTTCTCAACTGTACTACTTCTTTTCCATTCTATATGGATGCTAACTTTCTTTACAAACTTGTTACTATTCCTTTTTCTGATCTCATCTCATTTTGTTTTCTCTGTTTTGCACTATTTGTTCGTAGATCAAAATCCCTGAATGTAATAGAAGAGTCTGTACAAGACAACTTGGTTGGGCTCGTAGTGAACTAACAGTTTGTTTAAAAATGGTATGTGTGAGGCTGCATGTGCCAAATGAAATGAAATGGTGTTGCTACTTTAGCTTGTACAGATAACTTGAAGGTTACAAATGAATTGAATTGGTTCCTCATGACTTCATCAACCGATCCATCTTCATTTGAAAAGTGATGAGGTTAGAGGCTACATCATGCTTCATTCTTAATATTTTATTTTCTTTTACATTCTTTAGAAAAGCAAGCTGTTACTATTTCCTTTTCTAATCTCATTTCGTTCTCTCCAGTTTCCATAGATCAAATTGATGGGCCTGAATGTGAGGAATCACCGTATCCAGATGAAGAAGAGGACTTGGCCAAGATTTATCATAGCGTTAGAAAAATGATATGCACACAGATATTGATGAATGACACCTTCAATTTTGGTCAGATGCTAAATGACAAGGTATGTTGCTATAATTTCAATTCATTCTAATAACTTCATTAACTAACATTCAATTTAAAACATAGATTTCTTGTTTGGTGCTTTTCTTTCCTTGTTCAATTCCAAGTGCTATCATTATCATAATTTAAAATATTGCAGACTGGACCGGGTTTTGAATAGTTCAATATATAATAGCTATCTTTGGTCAAGAGTTGTGGGTTCCTCATGAATGTAAGATGCTATTGCATACTATCCAAAAAAGATGCTAACTAACCACTTTTATAATGCAAAATTTGAGGGTTAACTAAACCATATAAATGGGGCTAGTGGTAAATGGTTTACTACAATGCAGTTAAAGGTTTAGTTTTGTGATGATGATCATATCTGCCTTGCAATTTTTATTTTTTTTTCCCTTGTAAATAGAGTGGAGAGGAGTATAGGAAAAGATTGGCACAAAATTGAAAAGGTTTTCCAGCTAGCAACTTGAAGAAAAATGTACTGAAATTTCTTTCTTTCAATTTGTTAAGATGAATGTGGGGATCTGTTACATACAGGAAGGGCTCGTGCTGTTAAAAAAGAATGATGTTCAATAAAACCAAACATCCGAATTTTTGGTAGAACAGATTAAAATCAAGAAGTAAAATAAAATTTGAGTAGAGGCGAGGGTGTACATAATATTACTGATATTTTAAAAATAATCAAAGATGAGATGTGAATTTTCATAAAGCTAGGAATTTCATGTGATAGTTGTGTGTCATGTATGTATATGTGCAAATTTATAGGTGCCAACTTACTGCAGATAAAGTAGGAGTAGGGTGCATGCTGTCAAGTTTGAAAAATGGTACATATATATGCATAGACATGCATATTACAACATACTATTTGATCTATTATAAAACATGACTAGTTTTCTGGTTTTGCATTCAAAAGATCGATATTCTTTGACAGCCAAATGTTTCTCATTTGCAGGGCATCAAGCATAAACTTGCTCATTCGCAGATAATAGAAAGATGCAGTATATATGATAATACCTGGTTTTGTGAATATATATATATATATATATATATATCAATGGATAGCTCAAAAAAAATTAGTTAGATGCTATTGTGGAATATCCAAAATATGCATGCTAATAGATGGTGTTGAAACAAAGGATTCATGTTGGAGGCTGTATGCTAATGTATTGAATATACATTATAAAAAATAATGTACTTTCAGTAATATACATTAATGGTTAGAAGCTAAAACTTATTTCATTCTTAATTTGTATTTCTTTTCTATCACTGTTGTCTTTCTTTACAAAATCAGTACCTTTTTTTTTTTTTTCAATCTGATTTCACCAGTCTTTCTATCAATTTCTAGTAAGTGTAGCTTACACTAGAGTCAGGCTTGTATAGTTGTAATTA